CAGGAACCAAACTCTGATGAGGGATGGCAGGAAGCATCTTGAACTGCTGATCCATCTTGCTGGCCCCATTTCAGTGGAGCAAGGGGCGTTCTAGCATCTCAGGATTCAGCTCTCCTTTTTTTCTGGGACTTGGTGACATCTAGTGGCTAACTGGAGCTTTTTCACTCATACTTTGAGAAACTTCTGGAAAAATTACTCAGCACTATGGAAAGCAAAACCACTTTGAATTTATTTACTCCTCTGAGAAAGGGTTCCAAATGAGCTTAGGAGAAAAGGGCAATCATTCCAATCCATTTTGGCACAATGGCATACGAGTCAAAATGGATTTCCTAGTTTCCTGTTAATTGAAATAGAAATTAGAAATAAAGAAAAAAAATCAACCAATCAACCAAAAATATAAATTAGAAACCATCAGTTAATCTCAAATCTCACTGCCATCTTTTCTCAGTTTCCAGAAATGGTACTTAATAAAGTATCCCCAATACAGGATCAATTAATATAAATTTGGTATCTGTATCCTATATCACAGGGTATTTCTAGAGATGCTAAAGCATAGACAACTCGAAGATCCAGTTTCTGGGCAGTCAGATATCCAGAAATATGTAGTTCATGTGCAGTCGTTACTGGTCTAAGGGTGTCCAGGACTAAAGGTCAGGGAGAGGTGAAACACCTAACCACCATGATACAGAGATGTGAGACACCCACAGACAGAAGTGCTGCAGGTGCTGAAGACTCATGGGAGGTGCAAGCTCCGGTAAATAGACAATCAACTGTGGCTTGCACTTCAAAAGAAATGCTGAACTACTTGCAATGAAAAGAGGGAGAGAAGGCGTGATCATAAATGAAGCCATTTCTTCACAGTCCCTTTTAGGGTCCGACGTTAGCAGTGGGAGAATGGTGAGCTGTCTCAAAACATGCTCTTGAGTAATCTCAGCGCAGTACTTGGCACCATCACAGAACCTTCTCAGGATGGGGTGCAGCAGTCAGCCTGTAAATATGTTCCAGTGACACTCATGCAGTGTCAGAGAACAAGTGGCTCACCATCGAGATCTTCTGCAAACCATGAAAATAAAGAGTACTGAAAGGTTTTTATTACTGAGCAGTGGTGATGCACACCTTAATCCCAGCACTCGGGAGGCAGAGGCAGGCGGAGCTCCGAGTTCAAGGCCAGCCTGGGCTACAGAGTGACTTCCAGGACAGTCAAGGCTACATAGAGTAACCCTGTTTTAAAACAAAACAAAACAAACAAAAAAAAACCAAGGGAAGGAAGAAAAAAGAAATCAAAAATAAAATTGCCGGGCTAGAGACAGCTTAATGGGTAAGAATGCTTGCTGTGCAAGCACGTCAGACCCGAGTTCCCATCTCCAGCACCCATGTAAAAAGCCAGCCCTAGTCATACACACGTCACCCCAGTGCTGTGGTTAGCAGACAAGAGGATCACTGGAACTTACTGGCTGCCAGCTTAGATGCAGGCTCAGTGAGAGGCCCTGTTAACAAGACAATATGGCAGAGAGCAATAGAACAGGGTACCCAATGTTTTTCTCTGGTCTCTACCAACACTCATGGTGTACACGTGTGTGCACGTGCACTTTAACACACACACACACACACACACACACACACACACACACACACACACACACACAAAATCCAAATTTAGGCTTTGGATGTAGCTCTGTTGGTATAGTGCTTGCCTTGTATGCAAAAAGTCCTGGGTTTGCTCTCCAGCACTGCATAAACTGGAAAGTCATACATAACTGAAATTACAATACTTAGGAGGTAGAGGCAAGAGGATTAAAATTTAAAGGTCATCCATAACCTGGAATATTTGAGACTTTATCTCAAAAAGAAACCTGAAAATCTACATTCAACTACAGAGAACTTTAAAAGTCAGATACTATATACCCATATAATAGAACATAATTAAAAAAAATCAAACTATACAAGACTTTTCCAGTTTTTAAAAGGAAGATTTATTTAACAAGTTTCACTTAGTACAATACATCTAAATGGAATTCACAATACAAGGTAAGATTGAAATCAAAGCCTCAGAATTCCATACAAACAACATGACCAAACTCCTAAAGTATTGGTTTTACATCTCAAAATTGTCCCAGATCTTTAAAAAAAAAAGTGAAAGTGTACACTCACGTGCCTTACAGGATATTAAACCAAAAAGCTAGAATTAACAAACATGCCAAATGTTGTCACTTTGAATCATAGACACAGCTCCTATATTGATTTTTACAGAAAAGCATGTTTCTCAACATGCATCTGAAGGTTCTGATGTATTGTGTGGTATAAGAGCAACATTTAACATAAGTGAAACTGCTTTAAACCTAAATATGCTTACTGCTTAAGTACACTCCTACAACATAACTAACTTGAGGAAAGCTGAAAGTGGATTTAACAGTTATGGTCAATACTGAACTTGTTATTACATCCTAGATGAATATTTCAGTGTTCAAAATTGCTGAGCTTAAAGTTTGAAAACAATCTTAACTTTCACTTTACAGTAAGCATGAATCACAAGCTTGTAATGCAAAACTGTTAAACTTAAATTTTGTTCTTAAAAAAAAGGAGAAAGAAGAAAGAAAGAAGCTGACCAGTAGTGATCAGAAGCAATTGTATTTCCCATTTACCAATCATACTGGATATGTTGGACATCCTTCCTATTCTATCCAGTTCCTATAAATGCACAGCTTTTATTCCTGGAGCTGTTTGGTGTTCCTTCTCTCCCTAAGCAAGGTTTGACTGATAGTCACTTGAGTTTTCCTGAAGAACTTGGTCATATCCACTCATACTGCTCTGACCACCATAACCACCACCATAACCACCACTCAGCTGCTGGCTAGCAGGCCCTCCATAACTAGACTGGTTGGATAAACCCATCCCTCCCATCATCTGGCTACCATAAGCACCACCGCTGGCCCCCGCTGTAGAATTCAAAAAGAGTTCCACATAGCTATGATCGTAAGCTCCTCCACTTGTCCCTGCAGTAGAATTCAGGAAGAGCTCCACATACCTGTGCTGCATATTAGCTTTATCCTTTGCCATAGCTGCCACAGCATCTTCATGAGTAGCAAACTCAACATCTGCCTCACCTGTAACTCTGCCATCCGGTCCTATTTCAATGTGTACTCTCATGGGATTAAGAGGTGAGAAGAAATTGTAAATATCATTCTCAGTGGCTCTGTATGGCAACCCCCTCATGTGTACACAGTGCCCTGTGGTGCTCTGGAAACTGGACCCACCATCTCCATATCTATGATCAGACATTCCTGAGAAACAGTAATTTAGGTCTCTTCCAAATCTATCAGACCCAAAACCATACCCGTCATTATACCCTCCATAGTCATCATAGCCTCCATACCCTCCACCATAGGCACCTCGCCTCATTCTTTCGAACCCAGCTCCTCTGCCAATGCTATTATACCCTCTTCCAGCCCCAGGCCTATCATAAGGACCCGGGCGCTGCATAGTCATGAGCTTTCGAGGGGGATCATAGTGGGTTCGGACTTCAGCTCTGCTACTCTTGAAGATTTCAATGTACCTGTGCCCTATTCTTTCCTTGTGTTTCTTTAAGGCCTTTTCGGCTATCTCCTGTGAAGCAAACTGCACAAACGCCTCCCCTGTGCTCCGCCCCTGAAAGTCCACCGGCAGTGTCATCCCATTTGGCACAATTTCCAACCCTGAAAAGAACTGAACAATTTCTTCCTTGCTACAGCCAAATGGGAGTCCTCTAAGCCGTACAAAGCCATCATTGGCAGTATCAGGACTATTTGGACCTGTATGCTTTAACACCCAATCCATTTCAACACTGTTGGACTTGAATACTTCAACATATCTGTGTCCCATGGTTTCTCTGTCTTTCTTTAAAGCCAATTTCACTTCATCTTCAGATTCAAGTTCGACAAACGCTTCGCCACTTGGTCTGCCTTCTCTGGTGTAGATAAAACGAACACCTGATGTGCCATTTTGGATTTTGCAATCAGAGAAGAAGCGCATCACCTCCTCAGCTGAGCAGGACCAGGGTAGGCCCCTGACCTTCACCACGAACCCCTCCCTGCCCTCTGTGCTCAGCATCATGGTGACTGTTGGGCTCTTGCTGGCAAGCTTGACTCAACACAATTTCAACGTGGCTTTAAAAAAAATTAGAAAACCATTGTCATGAAAAATTGTACAAATTATAGTAAGAGAAACAAAGAAAACTATTGTTATAGATTCACATCAGTAACTTTTTAAAAAGATAGCCACATGAACAAAAAGACTGCATTAAATTTTTAATGCATTCACTTAACAATGACTTATTCCATTTCTATTATATATCAGGTATAATTAATTAATGGTGATTATTTCTGGGTAGCAGTACTATAGGACTTGTTTCCATGGATATATACATGGAAAATATTAAGACATTTTTGAACATTCTAAATTGTCTTCACTGACCCAATGTATTAACATCATAGAGAGAAAATTAAAAACTGCAAATAAAATATATCTCATTATATAAAAATCAAAAATTTCTTTAAATCAAAAGACAAACAAAACTTATGAGAAGATGTAAGTCCATTAATATCCTAATATAAACAACGCATGCAAATCAATAAAATCCAGAACTATTAAAGACTAAGAGATAAACAGAAAAAAATTGGGAATTTACATATTCAAGCATCTTTTAGATGCCAGGTCCAGTACTCAGTTCTGACATGTAAGAATCAATGAGTCCAGAAAGGGCTTACAGTCCTACAGGAGAAATGTATGCCTTCACCAAAGGTAAGTGCAAATAGATAGAATAAAGGAAGGATTGGTTGATGAAGTGTTATCAGTTGGAGGCAGAATGGTTAATTGAAACAAACTAAACTGATCCTGTTCAGGGATCCAGAAACAATTTATAAAAATTGTCAATGGAGCAAAACATGTAAGAGTACAAAACTCCAAAGATAGGGCTGTCAAGAAAGAGATTAGCTCCTGAGGGTTTGATTTAATACAAGGAGGCTAGCCTCTTGTTTGGTTCACAAGCATGATGATGATTCAGTAGTCACACCACTGTGTGACATGTGCCTCCCCCAAACCTGAAGACGTTGGGACATTACCGCTCTGACGCTGGGTGTGGAGAGGGAATATATAGCATCTTTTATGGATTTTAAACAGGAGTGATGTCATTATAGCCCTTTCAGACTCATCACCCAGGCAACTGGAACATTCAAACAGAAGGAAGGGGGCTAGCTGAAAAGAGCAAATTAACAAAATGACCTTGCCAGGCAATGGTGGCACACGCCTTTAATCCCAGCACTCTGAAAGGCAGAGCCAGGCGGATCTCTGTGAGTTCGAGGCCAGCCTGGGCTACCAAGTGAGTTCCAGGAAAGGTGCAAAGCTATACAGAGAAACCCTGTCTTGAAAAACGGAAAAAAAAAATGACCTCTTAGAGGTATGTCAAGAGATTCACTAAAATAGGAGCAAAGAGGTAAGGAAAAAATCTGCCTAAATAAAAAAGTGGAATCTGCAGGACCTGATAAAAAAGATTATGGGTATTAAGGGTTGCTACATGGGATGGTACTCAGGAGACAGAGGCAGGTGGCTTTCTGTGAGTTCAAGGCTAACCTGATCTACATAATAAGCTCCAGGCCAGCCATGCAGAGCTACATATGAGACCCTATCCCCAAAACAAACAATAACAAAAGATATAGGACTGCAGGCAACTTAGAAATACTAATAGTGAGAGAAATAGTCTTCCCTAGAGAAGGGCATACTGGTTATCCAATACCAAACGGTCAACTCTGAAAACATGCATACTAATAACATTCTACAGACTAAGCAGGTTGTATCTATATATTTAGGAATATGCACACATATGCAACAACTATGAAAAAAGTCCAGGAATTTGAAAGAGCACAAGGTGGGGAGGTGTTTAAACATGGGATGGTTTGGAGGGAGGAAAACGGACAGGGAAAATGATGTAATCATATTATAACTTCAAAAAAATTTAAATACAGGGAAAAGAGGAGTATATAGGGGAAAAGTCTGGGAAATGTTCAAACTTCAATCACTGGAAATGAAATTTAAAGTAAAATAAACCTTTTTAACACCCATCAAAAACAGTGGCGATTAAACAGTAATAATAAGTCAACATTAGTCACAAACTAGAGTTTCCTAGAAGAGTGAAAACTGATGACTATTCTGGAAAAATATTTTGGTAATAGCTGGGCGGTGGTGGCACACGCCTTTAATCCCAGCACTCGGGAGGCAGAGCCAGGTAGATCTCTGTGAAGAGTGAGATCCAGGACAGGCACCAAAACTACAGAGAAACCCTGTCTTGAAAAACCAAAAAAAAAAAATAATAATAATAAAATAAATAAATAAATAAATAAATAAATATTTTGGTAATATTTACCACACCTTCTGACAGAAAATTCACTTCAGGTATGTGCCTTAAGGAATTATCTGAAATTAAGAGCAGGATTTATTGAACTATATATTGTTTGAAAGGCATTTTAGGAAGAAAACTGGAACATTATACATTTAATACAGTTATAAAATTTTAACTGATTCAAGATCAAAGATATTTTTTAATCTCAATTATGTAGAAACAAAAATTCACATACCCTTTGACCCTGCTAGAGTTTCTTCCAGGAATCTGGTCGACAGAAATACTTAAAAATTTTTGCTGCAGCACTGTAATGGTAGAAAATCAGAAAACTAAATAGCCATCAACAGAGATGGATGAATTATATGTCTACTTTTTAAATGGAGTTCTATGCAACCCCTTGCAAAAGAGATTTGCCCTTACCCAGAAAGATTTCCAAAACACATTGAATGAATGAATACATATAATATAATCCTATTTGTATTAAAATACAAGCATAAAACCAAGTGTATAAATGTGTGTGAGACGATGTGAAAGTAGCTTCATGTAAGATAAACTTTAAGAACAAACGGAGGGCAAGAAGTGGAGGTGGCCTTTCACTTTTTAATACCATACACTTTCATAGTTTTAATCCTTTAAGCTCACTGTATTGGAGCAAAAGTAATCTTAGAAAAAATATAAGCATTGGAAACATGACAAAATTTCTTAAAGAACATTTTGTGTGCGCTGATGGAGACTGGATCTCAAATGTTAACAGTGACTATTGAGTTTATGGTTTTTTTTTCCTTTTATTATTTTTTTATGTGCAGGCTTAATGGTCTGCTGAAAGAATAATAATTTGACAAAACATCCCAGGGACTATGGTGATTTCTACAGCTCTCTGCCTCAATAGATCCTCCCTAGTGGCTGGGAGGTTTTGCTTCCTTACATTTCCTGAGAAGGCCACCAGGACTCTGTTACCTAACGTAGTAACCAGGATTTGTGAGTTAAGAATCTGTGTACTTATACCTGTGCTACAGCATACTTTTTGTAACTGTAATAGAGTTGGGTAGTGCTCAACTGTGTCCTTTTTAAACGAATATATTACTTTTCGAATGACCAAAATTCAACTCGTAGATCGTTACAAGCAGAAAAACAAACGTTCCAATAATTAAGTAAAAGCATTTATTGGGCGCCTCTCGAGCACGCAGTAGCTGCCCAGCTCACACTCTAAAGGTGTAATGCACTCGGGACCCCTCGCGACCATCGCGCAGTTTGAACAGTTGAGCGCCTGAATGGATGGAGCGGTACTTCGACCGCGGGTCTCAGTATGGTTTTTTTTGTTGTTGTTGTTTTTTTTTCTCCTAACTCCGGCCGTGTTTTTGAAACGCTTTTCACCTTACGGTTCCCTCTTGCAGGCAGAGGGGGAAAGGTCCCCCGAGATCCGGCCACACGAACTGATTTACAAAAACACGCACGCAGTCACGACCGTCCACCATTTCCCCACCAGGCGCAGCGCAGGCCGCTTCCCGGCACTCGGGGAGGGGGAGGGGGGAGGAGGACGCGGGGGGGGGGGGAGCCGAGCACGAAAAAGGCGGAGGCGACCCCGAACTCCGCTCTGCTCTGCCTTATCACCACCCGGGGTCCCCATTTCCCACCCACACACCAACCTCCAAGGAGACCGGGGGATTATCCTCCTTCTTCCCTCAAACGGCTATAGCGAGACGATAGACGACGACCAGAACTACTTCTGCTCACGTAAGCGATTGATCACGTGAGCGCCTACGTCATGTGAGATCTCGGTCACGTGAGCAACTCTCGGCTTAAACTCGGGATCACTGAGGTGCCGCACTTCCTCCCCGTTTGGAAATGGGGTGGGTCAAGGTAAAGAGAGCGCCAATATGATTGGTTAATGTATGTCTTATGTGATTGTTCATTGGTCCACCTCTGGCGATAACCGTCCAGTTGCCTGAGAAACGATGATGTCATTACTGAATAGCTCATCCATGATTGGTCCGCCCCAAGGGTAAACTTAAAGCCCATGTTAACTGCAGGAAACTGAACCAAAAAATTCCTGTGAGCATGGAGCTTTTGAGTGGAGATCCGGGTTTGGTCTATGAGCTTGCGCTTCCTCCCCTGGCCTTAGTTTTCTGGAGCATTCTTGGGGCTAAAGCACTGGACAATGGCTTGGCGCGGACTCCTACTATGGGCTGGCTGCACTGGGAAAGGTTCATGTGCAACCTCGACTGCCAAGAAGAGCCTGATGCCTGCATCAGGTATGAAATATTGAGTGTGTTTGTGTGGGTGTATTTGGTAGAAGAAATGGGAACATTTGAGCTGGAGGGGTAGATTCCTCTACTATTGTTTCTTTTTTATCCCCAACAAAGTATCCATCCGGGATCTGGACGGTCCCTAAACTGTTACCAATGTGAGCTGTCCTGAGATGGAAGATAGGCAGCAGCCAGTGCGTTGCTCCCGCTCCATCTCTTCCTGCACTGGGAGTTTTTCATATATCATATGGTTCCATGCAGACCCTTTGAGTTTGTACTCTGCCCTTGTTTAGTGCTAGCCTTGAGCTAAGCCATAAGCACGGTTGGAATGGGTAGGAGGATGACGAAGACCAATGCCAGTTTTTCTTTTTGGATCACGGGTTCTTTGGCTGTACTGAAGCGAGAGTTAGAGAAACCATGAGATTACTGAGCTGTCCCTCAACCCCTTTTCCTTGAGTGTGGCATCAGGCTGGAAAGTTGACCTGAAGGAACTTTGCACATCAAAGGTGAGAGTTGAGACCGGGTACAACCTATCTGATTCTCGCAATCCTAGTTTACAAACTAGGAGTAACATCTTTTTTAACTCGAGGAGCTGACACAGAAAAAGCTGTAAAATTGCTGGGCATGGTGGCTCAGGACTAATCCCAGCACTCCAGAGGCAGAGGCAGGCAGATCTCTTAAATTCAAGGCCAACCAGTGCTGCATAGTGAGACCCTGTCTCAAAAAGAAAGAGCTTACTATCAAGAAAAAAAAAAGAAAAAAGAAAAGGAAAGAAAGAAAGAAAGGGCTGTAAAACGGTTATCTCACACAGATGAACTTTCAGTTAAATAAACCCATTTTAAAAACCAACCATTCATGCCCTGACCCCCTCAATTAGGCAAATAAAACAGATGTCTCTATCCTGGCATGTATAGGAAATGAATTGTAAGTTTACAAATATATGGGCATTTTTCTAGAGAGGAGATGTTTTCCTTTCTTCAAATTCTTAAATGAATCTGTGATCTAGAAATGATTAAGAACCAAGTATTAGATATTGAGTGACTGCCTTATAAAAATTATTGAAAACATAGTAAGATCACCCAGTGGTGCAGAACGGCCTCTAAAGGCAGCTGCCACAACTCCCGCTCTGTGTTCATAAATTATTTCTCTGAATGCCTGTAAAGATAAAATCAGGGTGTTGGTCAGATATCATAAAAGAAACTGGCTTTCTAATTTTCATACTGTCTGTTCTATCCCTGAGATAAAATTTGTGGCAATTTGCCAATACAGGCTTTTTATATTTTTGTTTTGTTAATTGTGGCTGTTTTGGGGTTTGTTTTTGTTTGTTATAAAACTAATGCATGGTCATTGCAAATAATGTAGATGGTAAAAATAATATAATAGAAATTAAGACTCCCCCTCATTTCATCGTCTAGAAATAATCATGGTTAGCATCCATACACAACCTTACAATTATTGTGTAAATGAATACACAGATTTCTAATTGACTT